TTAGTAGTTTCCCATAACTAAGTTAAATTGGGGAAACTAAGCTTATCTGAACAAAGTGGCTATCTACGAGGCGGTAAAGTTTTGATAGAAGACACTAGGGAATTCTTAAGATGTCCAGGACTATAACCTAGGCTCTGATACCAACTGACACACCCCGTCCCGCATGAGGGCATGCTGGCCATCACGTGAGAGTGACGTAACCATTTGCACAGTTCAAAAGCTTTAAAGATACAATTACTAAGAGGTAACACCTGAGGGTGAATCCTACTTTTGTGAATTCTGTTAGAACACCGTTGGATTCCTCGTCGCCACCAAAGCTCTGCTATCTTGAACCTGGAGGGGCGCAAAACAAAGTTGCGTGGGTCAGTAAAACAAGGTTTTTCAAAAATCATCTCATTATCAAAACGCTAACCCCTTGCTGTAAAACCCGTATACTTTCCCAGAAAAATAGTATATATATAACCATATATAACAGTAAATAACCCAAATCACAAGTCTTTAACACTTTTCAAGAAATATGCCATGCTATACTTCAAAACATGATAAGGATGCATCAATATAACAGGTGAAATAAGGAATCAATCGGAGACCCTGCAGCTGTCCTGTACGGTTAATTTTATAGCTCAATATCCAATCCAACCAGAGTCACCACTGTGACCTGTACGGCACTACTCTGCACATAAATCGGAACTACCTGAAGTAGTCTATACGACAAGAATGGTGTAAGAATACGCTATAGTGCTTTTCTTATCAACAACTATATAATAATCTAAAGTCACCTACAAGTTGGAACCACCTCTCGTGGTCTGTACGACATGTCGGAACCACCTCTCGTGGTCTGTACGACATGCACCTCCTTGGATCCAAGGTGAGCGTATGGTGCGGGGTGAATAATATAAGCACTAACACCAGTGGTGCAGGTTATAAGCTCTCAACACAATTCATATCATTAATAATTCACATGAACACATAAAACTCACCTGATACTCACCTGTGTGTCCACAACACCATTTCATATATATGCATCAAATACTAATTCATATAATTCATATATTATGTATGCATGGCATTTTAAAACATACTTTCATTTAAATTCAATTTCTGGGAAAAATCAGTAGTATATAGGTATAAACCGAAAATAATTGCCCACTCACCTGGAGTTCACCCTAAAACTCCCTAGCATAACACATCAAGACGTCATGACGATCGGCGCCTAGAACAATCATCAAATCAAACCTCAGAAATCATATCGATAGAATATATAACTTATATAAAACACGTCACTACGTAGTTCGATCTGGAAGATCTGCAACTCAGATTTCCAATCCATAACTTCCAGAGGTCCACAATATATCTCTAGAACAACATCCTAAAATTTCCTTACCATCCAACGGTCGGATCTCTGTCAATTGTCAAAACCAAGTGACGGTTTACATTCTATTTTATGAACTTGCAACTCCAATTCCGGAAGATCCGTATATCGGATTCCCAATCCGTAAGTTCCTATAATCCTAAAATATTACGTGTTACAACATATCAAAGTTTGGTGATGATCCAACGGTCAGATCGTCAATTCACATTTTCACCTAACCACGAATTGTAACAAACTTAGGTTCAATTACTCAATTTACGTCAATCAATTATCAAAACTGAACCTAGAACATTAAACACATTCTAAGAATGACATTGGCGGGCCACTGGCCACGCGCCGCCGCACGGGCCGCCGCAGGTGGCGGTCGGCTGCCCCGGCTCCCCGGAAAATCCAACTATTTCCAAAAATTACCAAAATTTACAAAAATGAATATCTCAATGATTAGAGTAAACTTTATACCTGTGGCCAAGGCCAATTTGGCTTGGAAAGGCTCTAATTCCATCAAACTTGTGAAGAACCCTAGAAATTGGTGAGTTCCAATTTGTCCTCAAATCAACTCCGCCGTCCCAACCAATGCTTGGGTTTTGTTCTAGGCCTCAAGAGGATGCTATGGGTGGTAAAACTTGGAAGGAATTGCTTCGGGATTGGGTGATTCGAAGCCAACGCCGCCGCACCCCTTTCTTGCGATTTTCTCCATTTTCAAAGCCAAATCTCTCCAATTTTGAGATGGAATGGATAGAGGAAGGCTCCTAGAGTGGTCCCATGAGGTTTCTTGAAGCAATTCGCAGGAAAAACGGGTGAAAATCATCGAAAATAGGCATGGGTGCCGACCGGGTCAAGAACGGGCGAAGGGGATCCGGCCAATTCCCCGTGCCACTATCTCCCTCATTTCCTCCTTTCCTCCGTTCCGATTGGCCGGGCTTATCTCTCTCTTCTCTCCATTCGCCCAGCTCTCTCTCCTCTCTCCCAGAGCTCCTGCTCTCTTCCTCTAGTTGGGCAGCTGTGCCCAATCTCTTCTTCTTATTTTTCTTCACCAGTCACGCGCGCACACACACACACAAAGCCTTCCTTCATCTTTTTATTTTTATTTTCTTTCCCTTACATCCAAGCCATCCATTCTAGATTTCCTTTAATTTGGGCCATCCAAATGGCACACCAAAATTTTTATAATAAAATTCATAAATTGCCCAAACTTTAAACTTTAAAATCTTTTTCGTTATAACTCCAAATCACGAACCGTCTACGCCCACGCTTCCGTAGCGACGTGTACTACGAGGATATGTCAAGAAAACAAATCTTAGATGGCACGACACAATGATTAACCTCGAATACTACGCGTGCCTCAAAGGGCATTTTTGTAAAATCCTTTATTAAAACTTTAAAAACTCTTAAAATCAGGGACGGGCTGTCACATTAAACATGTCAATGAGAGACAATAACATAAAAACAATTAAAACCCAGCCCAAAAATATAGAAACAATATTTAAAATACTAGCTATACCCCTAAGGCTTTAGGGTTGTTAATAAAACTCAACCTTCACACCTCCAACAAAATTAATATGTGTCATAAGCTCAACCTGTTATCAACTATTTTTGCAGAATCGATTTTGAAATTATATGTATAATCAGTTTGTATACTTTATTACTAGAATCAGTTCAACCCGTCCTCGATGATTTTTGAAGAATTAGTTCAACTCGTCATCGACCATTTTTGCAGAATCAGTTCAACCCGTCCTTGATCATTTTTGCAGAATCAGTTCAACCCGTCATCGACCATTTTTGGAGAATCAATTCAACCCGTCATTTACCATTTTTGCTGAATCAGTTCAACCGTCCTCGACCATTTTTGCAAAATTAGTTCAACTCGTCCTCGACTATTTTTGTAGAACTAGTGATCATATTTGTAGAATTAGTTCAACCCATCCTCAACCATTTTTGCAAAATCAGTTCAATTAGTCCTCGACCATTTTTGTAGAATTAGTTCAACTCGTCTTCAACCATTTTTGCAGAATCAGTTTAATCAGTTCTCGATCATTTTTGCAGAATCAGTTCAATTAGTCCTCTATCATTTTTTGCAGAATCAATTCAACTCGTCCTCGACCATTTTTGCAGAATTAGTTCATCCTGTCATCGACCATTTCTGCAAAATCAATTTCAAATACATGTAGAATCAATTTTGTATACATTTTAGTGGAATTAGTTTGTATAAATTAGTATAATCAGTATGTAGGTTTTGTATGATATGGAACAGTGGGTGCATCGATGCATGCATGCATGTGTAAAAATGTTTGATTGTCGTAGTCTCAGTGGTTAGTTGAATTCTATTTTTTAAAGGGTTGTTGACGGTTAGAAATTAGATAGGGGGTGTGTGTGTGTGTGTGTGTGGTTGGAGAAATTATAAGGTTTGGTTGCTTGTATGGGTTTCTATTGGGAAGGTGAGAGAAAAAGGTAAATAATGGTTTTCATATAAAGGCATGTGAAGAAAATAGATATTTAGCTGTGCAAGTAACTGAAAAGTTTTGCATTTACCGTTTGAAAGCTCTTCTTACAGATGTTAGTACAAATTGAGAGAGAGAGAGAGAGAGAGATGTCAGTCTAGCCTTAACGGTCTATTTTGATGAAGGAGACAGACATGCATACTGGGAAGTTGGTGTATACATGCACCTAAAAAACACCAGAGGATGACCTTTCACAACAGTTGCAGTGAAGCCTGAGTTGAGAAGCAGCTTTGATGAAGAAGATCATGAATACCTCGTTTTGATGAAGAAAATCATGAACACCTCTCTATTTGAATTCTGGGTAATGGGCATGAGAGAGAGAAGCACAACTGTACCAAGAAGATGAAATAGAAAGGGAGAGAAGCACGACAGCTAACAAAAAATAAAGAGATGGTTTAAACACAAGGGGTAACATCGTAAATGTAAAAAGCAACTTAAAAAAGTTATCACATCACTTCATAGGTGAAATAATTTGTTTCTTTTTTAAATGTTTAAAAAGTCTTGTTTTAATAGAAAATTAAGTATTAAAAGTATACTTTAATTGTAATTTTTCTTAAAATTTTAATCTCTCTAGTATTATCCTTTTCTTTTTTATTATAAGCGATATTTCAATTATAATCTATATTAAGGAGACGGAGTATAACAATATCATCATGTTATCTTATGAATTCAATTATAATATAACATATAAATAAGTGTAGTAAAACCTATAATTCACTCATAGTATAGTACCTTAATTAATATTGAACAATACTAATAATTTCGTCACACTTTACAACTTTTCCAGGATATTTTTCTTTGTTTGTTAGTTATAAATGGTTATCATCAATCATCAAGGAATGTTGCATGATCCTTGCATGTGTGGTTGACTTCATTAAAACAAAAAACAAAATAAAAATAAAAAACAGAAAACAAAATAAACAGTTATTTTCATGATCCTCCAACTTGGTATGCAAGTGCCTCGTGTAAAGAAATCTAACATTGGAGGAAGCTGCAGGGGCATGAACCATGCCGTTTTCCATAAAGTCCAAAGCCTGACATTCTATAGCCATTACTATACAATATAATTCGTTCCCTCCTATAAATACATCAAATTCTATTAACATTCTTAATTACAACACAGAAGTGTAATTAAGCCACTAACAAAATTTGCAGAGATGGATGCAGTGCAGGTTGTGAAAAGTTCATCACCACCTTCCCATGAAGGAATTCATATTGTGAGGGCAGCAATAAGGCTTCTAGCAATATTTGTAGTGTTTCCGGGGACTCTTTTAATTTGGCTCATGATGCCTACCAACACATATAGGCAAATTTGGCTGCCTCAAATCAGACTAAAGGCTAGCTCAAGTACCTATTTGGGAGCAGAAGGTTCTATTAATCGATTAATCTTGATTAACTTTTTGAATGCTTTTAGTTAAATTTGTAATAAGAAGGTTTTCTAATTATTTTTTGGATATAATGTTGCTATGCAGGTGGAACAATTCTGGTGTACACATTTCCCATTTTGTTCATTGCGGTGTTGGGTTGTGTGTATCTTCATCTGGGAAAGAAGTTGAATAACCATGAACTGAAAAGGTGCGTGGCATATGTGAATTAGGGATAATGTTTTTCTTTTACCATATACTCTTGTAACATGAGATGTTTATGTCGTTGGACTGTGAAGTGAGAATACGTTGATTTTTGTTTAAGTGGGATTCATATTTAAGTCTAACAACGTAAGTACTTATTTGACAATAGAACACAACTCCAAAAATGAGCTGGGATCTTATATATACTCTCAACCCACATCTCGACATATGTCCTTGGCATAATGTATTGTCTCTTTCTTGTTGGATTTTGCCACTATCTGGTATAGCATATGATGTTTATATTGATATAGTAGATTGATTTTTGCTCAAGTGTAGATTCAGATTCATATGGTGTGACATAAGTATTTATTTGACAAAAGAATATTAGTGTACGTAGCAATAATATTAACATTTTTCTAGTTGGATTTCGATTATCAGCAGCAGTGGAACAAAGAAGAATCGGTTTGCTGTATGGAAACAACCTATGCTGGTGAAAGGCCCCTTAGGAATTGTTTCTGGGATAGAGCTGGCCTTTTTCGTGATGTTCATTACACTCCTGGTGTGGTCTTTGTCAACATATTTGCACAACAAGTTTAAGAACATCACCACACAATCAGCAGCAAAACACCACGAACAAGTGTAAGATCATTCTCCTAATAATACCCTAAAAATGAAGGGCATGCTGTGATTTGGAAAACGAATTTCACATATCTTTCTCCTCGATCTGCACACCTTAGTCTATTGATTTAGTTTTTAGTTTTTTTTTTTCAATTTAAAGACAAAAAATAAACAAAATACAGAAGAAAAAAAATGTGCGAAAACCATTTTTCAAACTGGATTGTGATAAAATTTGACATTGACTAAATAAAATAGCACAAGTAATTAGAATTAATCAATTTTGTGTCTGATAATGATGGCAGATGGGAATCTAAATTGGATAGTGCAGCATTGGTTCTGGGGCTTGCGGGGAACGTATGCCTTGCATTTCTTTTCTTTCCTCTGGCACGTGGCTCTTCGGTTCTGGCACTTTTTGGTCTCACCTCTGAAGGTAGCATCAAGTACCATATCTGGCTTGGACACATAGTCCTGGCATTCTTCACTGCTCATGGCCTTTGTTACATCATTTACTGGGCTGCTACTGAACAAATTTCCCAGGTAATTAGTCAACTATTTTTATTCAGTTGATTTGAATATTTAATGTTGTGTGGAAATCTAAGAGAAATTTCAAATGAAAACTTTTGAGTTGATTGATTGGGAACTAGATATATAGCCATGCAGGTTTGTTTTTCATGCATATAAAAACATATATTATTCTGGAAAAAGATTTCAGAAAACAAGAAAACAAACAACTAAACAACAGAAAGAGATCTTAAATTGGAGTATTGTATTTGTCACAAAGTGGGACAGTTGAAAAAAAAAAAAACTAACACTGTCTCTGAAAAAAAAAAAAACTCAAAACATAACACTGTTTCTGGAAACAAAAAAAATAACACAGTTTCTAGAAAAAAAATCAAATACAATGTGTAAAAACTAACACTGTTTCTGGAAAACTAAAATTGTTTATGGAAAAAAAATCAGAACCACCGTCGGAACAAACCGGCGAAAAACTAACACTATTTTTGGGAAAAAAAAAAACTAACACTATCTCTGGAAAAAAAAAAACCAAAATATAAAATTGTTTTTGGAAAAAAAAAACACTATCTCTGAAAAAAAGAACCAAAACATAACACTATTTCAGGAAAAATAATATGATACAGTGTTTGTTTTGTTTGTGTACAAACAAACACTGTATCTGAAGGAAAAAAAAAACCAAAATATAACACTATTTATGGAAAACAAAAAAATAACATTGTTTCTGGAAAAAAAAATGTTGGCAAAACTATATTTGAAAAAAAAAAATACATTGTATCTGAAAAAAAAACTGAACAAAAAGCTCACAAATCTCAAATTTATTTTCTGGAGAAACAAACAATGAACTCCACTGAAGAAGAAAAATTGAAAAACAGTACCTCAAATTCTTCTTTTCTTCTTCATCAAATTGAAAGGTTAATAATCAGATGAATGAGGAGGGAAGGGCAGAAATTCACCTTTGGCTTTTTTGCCGATGTCGGTGAAAGTGCATATCCCTTGCTCATCTTTACAGAGAGAGAGAGAGAGAAATTTTGGGAGGGAGGGAGAGAGAGAGAGAGTGACAAAATCATACCGTTTTTCTTGTAAGAGATCGTTTCCAATTTTCATAGAGATGGAGACGGCTCAAAATTAGGTTTGGGGTCGAAGCTATGGTTTTTACATAGTGATAGAAATGGAGTTGCTATGCGAGATTAGAAAGAAAAATGGAAGGTTTTGAATGTCAGGAAAAAATGGGGGAGATAATATGAGAGAGATCCATAATGAAGAGAGATTAACGGACAAAAGCTTGTTGTTAGGGATAAAATCATAAACTTAATATTTGGGCCATTTTAATTAGACTAATTTAGTTTTGGGCTTTGTCCTAACAATTAAATAAAGTTATTACATGGTTTTTGGTTAAAACTCAAAATTTTCAAGTCATTTTCATTAGTTTTCCTTAATTAAAATCACTCCTATGCTTTCCGACTAAATTAGAAACATAATAAACAAAAATTCGCCCCATTGTAAAAGGCTAAAATATGTTCTTTTTCTTTAAAGCTATATTTTGTTTAAAAAGTAAAAAATAGAAAGTACATAAAGTTTATGAGAAATGAAAATGATTTTCGCACTCTCGTTTTCTTTTTTTATAATGCTGTTTTGTTACACTACATACATGCTCCCTTCTTGACTGTGACTGATGTGTTATGTTTTTTTTTAATGCAGATGGTAATATGGGATAAGGTTGGCGTTTCAAATGTAGCTGGAGAGCTGGCTTTGCTCTCTGGACTGTTCATGTGGGCGACTGCCATCCCTCGCATTAGACGTAAAATGTTTGAGCTCTTCTTCTACACTCATTACCTTTACATCCTCTTCATGTTCTTCTTTATCCTTCACGTTGGCATCGCCTATGCTTGCATTGCGCTCCCCAGTTTCTACCTCTTCTTGGTTGATCGTTACCTGAGATTCTTACAATCCCGAACCAGCACACGATTAATCTTTGCACGTGTTTTGCCAAGCGAAACCCTAGAGCTCAACTTGGCCAAGACCCCAGGTAACACTTTGGAAGTACTTATAGATTACTTTCTAGACTGATATAACAATGAAAACTTTCATTTGAAAGTAAGATTCAGATCAACAGTCTTATGGTATAACATATTAGACTATTCCTCTAAAAGAAAATTACTTAATATATAATTACTGACAATATGAGAAAATGATCAGTTTATGCCTAAAATGATTAATTATGACTTATTACAAGAAACTAATGATTTTTGTTTTTGTGTTTTTTATATTGGCAGGGCTGAAATATAATCCAACAAGCGTCATGTTCATAAACGTTCCTAGTATTTCTAAGATGCAGTGGCATCCTTTTACTGTTACTTCCAACAGTAGCTTGGAACCAGAAAAGATTAGCATCGTTGTCAAAGGTGAAGGAAGTTGGAGCAAGAAGCTATACCAAATGCTTTCATCCCCTTCTCCAACCGATCGGATTGAGGTCGCAGTTGAAGGGCCTTATGGACCTGCTTCAACTCATTTTCTAAGGTTTGCACCATAACGAAAAAAATAGTTCCCTCATTAGTGTTAATCCAATGAATACTATTCTCAACTTAATCACCTTTTAAAGTACCAGAATTAGTATTTAATAAATTAATCTAACCTTAGTACCTTAATGTGACAAACATTAATGGATGATATCTTTTTGTAGGCATGACACCCTTGTAATGGTGAGTGGAGGCAGCGGAATTACCCCATTCATCTCCATAATCCGAGAGCTCCTCCTGCTGAGTACATCATTCACCTACAAGGTTCCGAAAGTGGTCTTAATCTGTGCATTTAAAAATTCATTGGACCTCACCATGCTAGACCTAATTCTTCCAATGTCCAGCACCTCAATCGACATGTCCAACCTGAATCTCCAAATCGAGGCTTACGTGACAAGAGAGACAGAACCAAAAACAGATGGCTCGAAGCCTGTTAGATCCATATGGTTCAAACCAAATGCAACTGATGCACCTGTATCACCAATTTTGGGCACAAACCACTGGCTCTGGCTTGCCCTCATAATTTCATCTTCCTTCGTCGTGTTCCTTATCTTGATCGGGACCATTACGCGCTACTACATTTACCCTATTGATCACAATTCGAACACGATATTTTCGTATTCTCTAAGAGCTGTGCTTAACATATTGGTGATATGTGTTTCCATAGCCTCAACAGCTAGTGGAGCAGTTTTATGGAACAAGAAAAAGAACGCTATGGAAAATAAGCAGATTCAGAACATGGAAGGGCCATCTCCAATGGGGACACCACAGTCACTGTATTACAATGCCGACAGAGAGTTGGAAAGCCTTCCTCAACAGTCTCTTACACAAGCAACAAATGTGCACTATGGTGAAAGACCAGACCTCAAGAGTAAGTCATCAGATTGTCACACTTGCATACTAAAAAACAAATTAACCTTGTTTTTTTTTTTTTTACAAAACGATATTATGACCTACTTTAATTTACGTAGAAGGGGACTCGAACTTTGGTGCACAAAGAACGAGAACACTACCTGACCAATTGGCCTAAGTCACATCGGCTTTAGTTTAACTATTTTAAGTGTTGGTTTTGCAGAGGTGATATTTGAGTGCAAAGAATCAAGTATGGAGTTCTTGCGAGTGGTCCGAAGAAAATGAGGCATGAAGTTGCAACCATTTGTTCGTCGGGTTTGGCAGAAAATCTGCATTTTGAGTCCATTAGTTTTAGCTGGTGATCGACTCATATCATCTATGCATACAATAAAAGTATAGAATAGCAATAAAAAAAATGCTCTGGTTTTGTAATTGGTCTCTTTCTTCCTTGCGTGAAGTATATATTTTGAATGTTAAAGAATAGAAAGTCAAAACACAACATGGACAGCATTTGACCCATAAAACTCAACCTTGATTAAATTAACTGCAAATTGAGGATATCTTAAATCTGCAAGGGCTTTATAGCGCAAGTGGTTAAGAGAATCTATCCTTCGACTTGAGATTTTATGTTTTATTTCTTCTCCCCCACTATCGCTTGTATCAAACAACAAAATCTTATACTTGTTTACAATACCTGTGAGACATCTAGTTTCACAAATAATTCCCCAGAATATAGCTTAAATCGGCGAAACTTTTCAAGAATCAAGAGCCAACAAATGTGACAAGTGAAGAAAACAAATAGACAACAAAAGGCTGTGAATAAGTTCCCAGCTCTCTACAAGAATATCAAATTCCCAGTAATTTGTTTATTGTAATAAATAAAAAATTGTATCTGAGTAGACCTTCGATGTTGCCTCGGTTCCCTTTTCAGTAGTGTGAGTCAGATGCTTGTTGATCTTTACATGATCCGACAGACATTCATTACTTCGCAAACAGAAATGTTCATGGAAAAACGACTGAACGAGCACCAATTTGTTGCCAAGCAGGATACAGGATTTACAGGTCCAACTATAACCTCATTTCTCTTCAAAAGTTTCAGTGGATGAAAGTCTCTCGTCCAAATCTCCCAGCAGATCATGGTATTTAGTAAATGCAGGATGTGACTGAAAAGCATATATCAATAGAGGACAACATTAATCTAGAGACACACAAAGGCAAGGAATGTGGACGCTGGTTTTTTGGTCGAATGTGGACACTGCTTAAAGCAATAAATACCTGCAGGGTGATGCTATATGCTTTCCACAACCGCATGTCGTGCTGGAAGAGATCGAATAGAACCTGTGCAAATTTCACAAAATAAATGCCTGGTCAGACAGTTCCATCTTACAAAAGTTGGCATTACTCGCGGTCAAATGGTCATCTTGAATGCATCTAGCCTCTTCTACAGAAATTTCAACAAAAATATGCCTCCTCAAATGTGGAAATGTGTAAATTTGGCAGTTAATGATAAAGTTTGTTTATTTTGTGTTTTGATTGAGTGTTTGAATCGGTTTCTTGGGTAGGATAGTAGAGAAATTGAAAAAGAAGTAACTTGGAGATTGGTTTCTGCTATGCAAATAATGCAGCAGACTTAATTGAATAAGTAGAGTGATTTTTACACAAGAGTATGGTGCATTTCCATCACCCATACTTTCTACAAAAGGTGATTGACAAGAGGCTTTAACAACCATTAAGCCTTACTACTCCAGATTACATCCTAACCCTTCATTTTGGGGTTAAATGATTTAATCTGGAGTGTACACTTGTCACTCACACACTTACACAAAAATTTAAAAACAAAACTAGCCGTTGGAGACTAGAACCCTTCATTTTCTTTCTTCTTCTTCGATGCAGATGACATCCTTTTGCTCGGGAGTATCCTGCTGCCTTCGACTCCCCGACTCCAGGAGCTGGTTAGCTTCCAACACTCCCTTCTAAACTGCTTCTGGGAGTCAATCCGAGCAAACCCCTCAGGTAATTGAATCTCTCCTTCGGTAGTGCTTTTGTGAATATGTCTGCGATCTGATCTTCTGTGCTGCAATAGATTAGCTTGATTGTGTTGTCCTGCAATGCTTCTCTGATGAAATGATATCTTCTCTTGATGTGTTTTGTTCTCTGATGAAACACTGGGTTTTTAGTCATGGCAATTGCAGAGGTGTTGTCACACAGAAGTGGTGTGGCTTCAACTTGCAATTCGCCAAAATCTTTAAGTATGAACCTTAGCCAAATAGCTTGAGATGTAGCTTCTGATGCACTCACATACTCTGCCTCGGCTGTGGACAGTGCAACACTTTGTTGCTTCACAGAGGCCCATGAGAATACCCCTGATCCGAAAGTGAAAGCATAGCCCGATGTGCTTCTACTATCATCCTCACTGCCACCCCAGTCACTGTCACAGAATCCAATTAGAATAGATGACTTTCCCATCTCATATTTGATCCCATAATCAAGAGTTCCTTGTACATATCTTAGCACTCTCTTAGCTGTGCCCATATGTATCTTGCTAGGATTCTGCATAAACCTAGAAAGTAGGCTTGCTGAGAACATTAGATCCGGCCTTGTTGCAGTTAGATACAATAGACTGCCAACAATGCTTTTATAGAGACTAGCATCTGCAGGTTCACTTCCATCCTCCTTCTTGAGCTTCTCATTTGCAATTAAGGGTGTAGAAACTGGTTTGCAACCCTTCAAACCAAACTTTTCAAGCAAAGTTTCAGCATACTTCTTTTGATGAATAAAGATGCTACTTGCTTTTTTGAATTACCCAATGCCAAGAAAATGATGCAAGAGGCCTAGGTCAGTCATCTCGTACCTCTTCATCATTTCTTCCTTGAACTCTTCCATCATTGCAGCATCATTTCCAGTGTAGACAACATCATCCACATAGATTGAGACAATGAGTGTCTTGTTGTTGCTTTCTGTCTTGGTGTAGAGTGTAGCTTCACTAGGACTTTTCTGAAATCCTTTCTCAATGAAATATGAATCAATCTCACTGTACCAAGCTCTTGGAGCTTGTTTTAGGCCATAAAGAGCCTTCCTTAACTTGTACACTTTTTCTGGAAACTCTTGATTTGTGAACCCTTGAGGTTGTTCCACAAACACTTCCTCCTCTAGCACTCCATTTAGAAATGCAGATTTAACATCCAATTGATGCAGCTTCCAACCCTTCTTGGCTGCTAGTGCTATCAAGGTCCTTATGGTGTCTAACCTTGCTACTGGAGCAAAGGTTTCATTGAAGTCTACACCAGGTTTCTGTGAGTAACCTTTGGCCACTAACCTGGCCTTGTTCTTTTGCACAGAACCATCTAGATTTAGCTTCACTTTGTACACCCATTTTACACCAATCACAGGCTTCTCACTTGGTCGATTTACAAGTTCCCAAGTGTCATTCTTTTCTATCATTTCAAGCTCTTCCTTCATTGCTTTCTTCCAAGCTTTGTCTTTCTCAGCTTCTTCATACGTTTCTGGTTCTACTACACAGTAATTACATGTAGCATAAATCTTATCCAGATTTCTCAATCTTACTGGAGTTGAACTAGGAGTTGTTGTCTGTGATTGACTTGATTGTGGACTCATAGTAGCTTGTTGTGGGGTCCCTTGTATGTCACCATTATCTGTGACTTCTTCTTGAACTGAGGTCTCTATAGGCTCCCTTGTTTGCCTTTTGTTTAGGTCAATTTGTAGAGAGACACTGTCCTTTTCCTCTACCATTGTATCCCAGTTCCACATTGAGTCTTCGTCAAAGATAACATCCCTTGATAGGATTATCTTTTGAGTCAATACATTATAAACTCTGTATCCTTTCTCACTGGTACCATAGCCTACAAAAACACCCTTGTTACTTGATTTCTCCAACTTGTGCCTTAGTTGATGAGGGATGAGATTGTAGCATACTGAGCCAAACACTCTCAGATGCTTCACAGAAGGCTTCCTTCCACTGAACACTTCAAATGGAGTCTTCTTCTCCAATGCCTTAGTAGGACACCTATTCAATAGATACACTGAGGTGTTCACAGCTTCACCCCAAAATTTATAAGGCATGTTCTTCTCATGCATCATAGACTTAGCCATTTCGACTATAGTCCTATTCTTCCTTTCTGCAATCCCATTCTGTTGTGGTGAATATGCCACAGTGAGTTGCTTCTCCAACCCCACATCTTCACAGAATACATTGAACTCATGTGAGGTGTACTCACCACCCCTATCACTTCTTAGTCTTTTGATTTGGTATCCACTTTGCAATTCCACCATTGCCTTAAACTTCTTGAATATTGTGAATACCTCAGACTTGAACCTCATGAAATACACCCAACACATCCGTGAATAATCATCAATGAAGGTTAGGAAATACCTGTTTCCACTGATTGTTGTTGTTCTCATTGGTCCACACACATCTGAGTGAATCAATTCGAGTGGCTTTGTTGCCCTCCAAGCCTTTCCAGCTTCAAATGAATCTCTGTGATGCTTGCCAAACACACACCCTTCACAGATTTCATTGCATTTGATCCATTTTGGTATACCTTGCACCAATTTCATCCTTTTGCAGATTTTGTAAGCTTGTCATGTTTAAATGATCAAGTCTCTTGTGCCATAGTTTCATAGAACTTGTCACACTTGCTTTCTTTGCCACTTCTTCTAAGTACTTCAGTACAAGTGGAAAGCTTCTGTTTTTCACTTCCACTTTGGTCACCAAGTTTGATAGGGATCTGTCATCATAGATCTCAACCACAGTTCCCCCAAAGAGTAGGAAATAGCCATGCTCCATCATTTGACCCCACACTAAGTAGATTCTCATCCAATCCAGGCACTAGCATCACCTCCCTTATACATCTTCTTCCTTTCTTGGTGTTGATAACCAGAGTTCCTCTTCCAGTGGCTTTGACAATGTTTCCATCACCCATTTTCACTTTTCCAGTGAAGTTTGTGTCGATGTCAATAAGTAAAGACTCATGTGCAGTCATGTGGTTGCTGCAGCCACTGTCAATGTACCACACTTCATTGTTTCTCTCCATTTTTTGCATTGAAAGCACAGAACACATTTGCTTCTTCTTCCACTTGATTTGCACAGTTTACTTGTTGCACATTCTTTGATCTGCAGTCCTTCATAATGTGCCCAAACCTGTTGCATTTGTGGCATCTAGGCTTGTCCTTGAACCAACACTCTCCAAGGTGGAATTTATCACAGTGCTTACATTGTTGCTTGGTTCTTGGACCTACATTGGTGTTGCTGCCTTGGTTAGGTCTTGAGTTGTGATACCCTTTTCCTTCCCATTTCTTGCTTTTGCCCTTCCACTGTGGTTTCTGATTGCTTGCACTGGCTTGA